TTTTCTCGTCTTTCTTTTGTTCGTTCGCTCATTTCGATAAGATGCCTACTTCACAGGAAAAACCCTGCATGAGAACAGCAGCGCCTTTATTATCTCGCGGCGGCATCATTTCTATCTGCTCCCAAGTCAGACCTTCAACTTCGGTCGTTGTCTGCGATATCTTCAAACAATAGAACGTGCCGCCGACCTATATTCCCCAGGGAAGAGCCATTTTGCTTCTGCAACAAACTACTGCGACGTGCGAGCGCGTGTGTATTCTGTCTGCGTGTGTACGCGCGCAGAAGAAGGGAGTATCAAGGGCGCCCCTTAACTGAGCGGATATCTTCACCGGGAGCGAATAATCGGCGTCCATGCGCGTAAATGTAGCCGATCTTACCCATCGCTGCGCTATAACCATCGGTCTGATGCGGATCGCGGGCGCACCGAAAGGCGCGCGCCCTCCGGAAGAATCCATGTTTGACGACGGCCGGAGAGAAAGAGAGCCGATGGGAGACTGGAAAAGAGCAAACGCTCGCGGCAGAAATAAGCGGCCAAAAAGTGCGATTGGGCCAGATAAGCAGACTGGAACACGTCTCAGGCGAGCAAGTTTTTTCCTGGCGGCAGAGGAAGTTGTCTTCGGTGGGCGCTGAACCCTCCTTCCAAAGCACCCCTCTCCGTTTGGGCAGCCCGCGGTGCAAAGATGTTTCCGAGGAGCAGCGGTCGCGTCGACCGGGCCCCCTATATTACCGGTCTCTTCTGCTCGACGTGCCGCGCTACTTTTCTGCTAATCGGCACACGGGTCCCAAAAAGATAACGAACTCAGCAGAGATGTTTGTCACGCCACGCATTCAAACGCTTCGCGCAATCAAGAAGTGATTTGTAACACTGCATTGATGCGGGTTTGCCGACGGCGGCCCAGTGCACTTTTTGCAACGCCTGCATTGCCCACTACTATGCAAAAAAACAAAAAAATTCGGGTGAGCGCGCGCGCCCGTGTTGTAGTCCGTTTTTTATTTTTTTTGAGAAGGGAGTGGGGGAGGGAGTTGCGCTGCGGGAGGGTTAGTTTAATGAAACCTTATGAATGTTCGCACGCTCACGAACGCACACACGCACTAGTGGACGTAACATTACTGCTTTCAAAAGCCTCCTCCTGTAAACCGCGGGGGCTGGGAAATATGTGGTGTTGAAATAATGACCTTCTTGACGTCAGTCAAATAGAGGAGAAAATGTTTTCAGCCGAACAGTAATTCGTAAAATGTTGTTATACTGCAGCGGGCGTTGAAAGAAATGTGTAAAAAAATTAGGAAAGTGCAATATGTGACGCTACCTTCGCAATTGCTTTTTCTGTGGCAGACAATTCCAGCTTGTTACAGACATCCTTTGGAATAGTAATTAAGAATTTGGAATGTAAAGTTAATTCTCAAATAGGAAAATTAAGTTCTTCATAGGGAGAACTCGTCGAAGTTTTGATGTATAAAAAAACGGCCTTCCAATGCCACAATCAAGCTGTACTAAATTCAATGGCGAAATTGATACCCAGATGCGCAACGATCAGACATCTGGAAATGCGGCCCTGTTCAAAACAACAATGCAGAGGTGTAGTTCTTCCACATTCGTTACCGCATGTGCGCCATGCGTGCTATAATTGCAAGCGCAGCCCACGCACCCGCACAGCGAAGTCGGTTGGCGGTTGATATAACGACGCTCACTCGTTTCAGACGTCTCAGCAAAACATGGCAGTTGCTCTCTTCCACGTTTCAGTTTCGCAGCTGAATAAAGTGAATTTCATTACTTCGCAATTATGACTGGAGACCTTTTTTTCGTAACCTCACAGCTGCAATGAGTTCTTGTCATGATGGACTTCAATTTTACCATTTGACATAATCACCTAGCTCCCCTAATTTTGAAGTTAGTTCATGTAACTTTCTTAATTACTGTCCCAAATGATTTATTGAGCCATTTTAAGACGCCTGCTGTTACAAAATTAATTGTGAAGTAATTATGAAGGTGTCAAACAAATATGGCATTTTCCTGATTTTTGAGAGCTTCGGACACATGTCTTGAAAAATCCGGTGTAATAAATTTATTATGAAGGAAGATGTCCTATGCTTCTTCAAATGCTTCCTTAACATATTTTGTTCTAATTTCGTGCACGTCTTTATGACGCGGGTCATGCAGTCCCAAAATATCTGACGCGACTGAAAGCACGTTTACAGCAATAAGGAATGTTAAGGTGTAAAACTGTGCACACTTGGTGGTTGAAATCGACACGAGGAAACTCACTTTAAATTTTCGAAAAAGAAAAGAACCAGAAAGTGTATTACAGCAAAGACCGAGGAACGTCGTCTCATGTGTGACGCGGAGCGAACCGGAGTTTGTTGAATCTGTTCAACTTAATGTCAACTGTCATTTGGGGCTTCAGCGATTCCGCACAATGTTTCACTTCCAGCGTACCCATTCATAGCAGTGTGCAATCCCATGGTGCGACATCTATTAAGGTAATAAAAGCGTTTCAGCCTCTAAGAGGCCATTTCATAAGGTACTTCGAGAGCGGGTGTTGTTATCAAGAGAAAACGCCATTATATCGTTACTTCTGAGCATGACCATATATATTTGGACAAGATATCACAAAACTAAAATTTTCTGAATTAGGCTTTATTGTTGGGCATTTGCAAAAAATACGCGCTGTCAGACATTGACTCCACCGTACACATTCCCCCACAATGCTATATACATTGGGAGGTAGATTTACTACGTGCTGTAGCGATTTAAAGCACGGCTCGTACTCATTATAGTGGCGTTTGTGCAAATGGCCATCGCCAGAGTATTTACCGGCGCAAGTTTATTAGTGCCCTGGCGACATTATGTCATTTCCATAATGAATGCATTTTCTTATTACTCATTCTGTCGGGCACCCACTGAACGTAGAGAACCATTAGCATTTTAGAATAAGCAAAATGCCAATACAGAGCGATAACACGCGGTATTAGCTCGAGCGAAACAGCTGTCGGCTTCGAAAGCGCCAATACAGAAGGCATGCCATTTTCCCATCCTCATGCGCTGCATAGTTCTCGACGGTTGCACGAATGGCTGCTTTGAGTGTCCACTTTATAACGGGGTGGTGACCAGTGCGCCATCAAGCTCTTTTAGATGCGAAGCATCATAGAGCGCGGTTCACTCCAGCGTGCGACGTCACCACCTCCCTTAGGCGCATACGCGTGCCCTCCCCCACCTCTCCTACGCTCCCCCTCTTTCACCTCGCAACGCCGACGAAGGCGCTAGCCTGCGCTCGCTCTCACCACTCTCTTCTTTACACATTCCTCCCCACGGCATTTATACACCCATTGCGCATGCGCGTACCCTCTCCCTCTCTCTTCTTACCTACGCTTTCCCCTCTCTCGCCTCGCAACGCCGACGCAGGCAGCGTCCGCTAGTGAGTTTCTTCATTGAAAAAATGGCCCGAATCTACATGTTACACTGTAAATGTCGTCGAAAGACGATAGTCTTCCGTCTGGAGAGAGTGAACAAAACGTTTATTTGATGTTCTGCGCAAGAAAATCGGTGAAGGGTATTCTGAAGGCGCTGCGTTAGAGTGCCTCGAGCGTGTGGCGGGACGAACGAGCGCATCTAGGCACGTTAGACACAAGTGCCATCTGGCAGTTATCTTCGAAAACGAAGACGTACAGCGCGCGGAGAAAGATGCGCGCCAGTCTCGGAGGTGATAAGCTGTAGAACGCAAAGCGGCGGGCAGGTGCCACCACCGTGACGTCGTAGCAAAGCATTGGAAACACTTTTTTGAGCATCGCGTTGCACTGTCAGCACAGCGCGATTAAAACTACATTCCTTAGAGCTACTTGTGTGTGCCTGTTTAGTATAGAAGCAGACATGGCAAACATCAAAGCGTTGTTGCGGCGCCTCAGATATTCGCGATAATTGTTTTTAATTGACAATCGCACAACTATAAACGCTAAACCTTGAGCAATATTGTTGGACGCTGTGGATGGGGTTGGCCGTTTGGTGCCGTTTGAGGTAGCGTTAGAGCGGACAAACAGACAAATGTACAGACAGACAGACAAACAGACAGACAGACAGACAGACAGACAGACAGACAGACAGACAGACAGACAGACAGACCAAAGTTTTTCCGTCGAAGGTCCCCAAGAAAGACTATCGTCTTTAAAAAACTGCTCACGCAGCACAACCGTCCCCTTCCCCCCCCCCCCCCCGGTACATCTTGACACCTAAGGTAGTGGTGGTGGTGGATTTTTCCTGCATGTTGAACAATAAAAAATCGCAGCGTGCGCGTTAACGAAAAGCGGACTGTGGGCCTCTGTGTCCAATCGGAGTCGTCTGTCTCGCATTGCCCATTAGAAGTGACTGGCATGTCCCACTAGAAAACACCAGTTCATCACGGCGTGCTTTGTGCGTCCGCAGGTTTCTCTCCTGCGCTACGCCATGATGAGCGCCAGCGTCAGCGCCGCCGCCAGTGTAAGCGTTAGCGCCTGCTGCTTCACATCTACACATGGTTCACTTTAGCGGGAGAAGGTGCAATTTCATCCATGATTGTTATTTTTTATTCATACGAATGCCTTGGGCTTGCGCAAATTCAAATTTTCTGTCTATAGAAAGAGAACTGCAATTCACAGCTCAACTTTCTGCGTGCCATGGGACCTTGACCTTCGTTTTCATGTTGTTTTTGTCCTTCATCTCTACTTATGCCGCAACATTAAGCCAACCATCTTTGCTTATTTCTATATCGGTTATAAATTTGGAAGTTTCACGGAAGCCCGTCTAGTCGGGATGATACTCGGTGAAGGTAAAAAAAAAAAAAACGAGGCACTGCGACGACCAAACCCCAAGGCACTGCGCCAGCGAAAGTTAAAACTTTGGTCAGCACACCGTTTGCGGTTTTCTACAATGCTCAAACAAACACCCGGGGGGATATGTTCAAATTCAGTTCAAACATGCTTTGATGTGTTTTCCACAGTGATTACATTGTTCGTTCCTTCTTATTTCATGCAGTGGCAGATGGAGCGCCGCAGGCGGAGGCCGGCGACCTACGCGCTAACGGGTTTGGTGCTGGCGAGTCTCGGCTGCACCGCCGTCTTGGCTCGTATCTATGACCGCTGCGAACTTGCCTTGGAGCTGCACGACCGTTTCAAGTTTCCCAAGAGGGACCTCGACAAGTGTCAGTAGCGTTCTCACAAAATAAATTTCAAATGGCAACATGCTCTCTAAAGACAAGTTCTTGTTCATTTTTTATCGTTGTAGGAAGCAAGATGATTCCATACCGAATATACAGAATATGTAATATAAGGTTGTATCCTTTGCTTATGAACAACTAGAATATTGTGAAATAAAGGCGAGAAAAATTTGAAACTTAGAGAGGTGTGGAAAGGTCTTTTTTTTAGTTCTGGCTGTCGAAAGTTTGTATATAATGAAAACTTGTTAACAATACTATTTTCATTTTGTGGGTGTGTTGTTCCACCCACATCTGAACTGCTTCTCTGAATGCCATACTAATTCATGCATAATACTAGCTCACAAAATTAAAACGTGCCTATATAAATGTCTGCAGCACAGCTGAAAACGTAAAAGATTATTTATGAGCTTACTGTGGTGCATTCATCAAAATAGGGTGATGGGTGAGGAGAAATAAAAATACGCGATTGCGGTATACATGTAAAAGTGTGTGGCACGACCGGTGCAAGCCTATAGACATAAGCTATGAAGCCATGGATGCAGCAGTCCGCAAGATCTTAATGATAACTAGATGTAGCGTAAGACGCGTTGCCACATAATTGAATTTGTTCCTCATTAAAGCTTCATCAAGATATAGGCTCGAAGAAGCTATCTTTCACACTGATTTGTTTTAGGGCTGCCATAAAAGCACTGCTGCTTCTTGGACGAGTTGTATTTCTATACTGGCCGGATTGCGCTTTCTAACGCAGAAAAGCAAACGCTATGCTGCCGCAGGGATGAGGCAGTGTTGCGGCCATACTATTAGTATATTATTAGTTACAGCATTAGATATATTTGGCATGTCATGCTTAACTTTGTCGCACTATTACTACCTATACGTGCACACTGACATGTGACACAAGAAGCGAAAGCCCTAAAGCACAGCTATTTCATTGCTTTGCTCCTACAGGGCTGTGCCTCGCCTATTGGGAGAGCCGGTTTGACACTCGAGCATATCACAAGGGCAAATACGATGGGAGTGGCGACCACGGTATATTTCAAGTAAGTCTTTCTTCGTCTTTTTCAGACCAATATCTTTGCAAAGCAGTGAACTGTTATTTCATGCAGTGGTAAATACAGCTCTTGCTACGCTCATCTTCAATGTCTAACAATAGTTATTATTATTTCTCTTAGGCGTTTTTCACAACGTAATGAACACTTCTTGGTGTACTTGATATGCAGAATAAAACAAAATGATTTCTCTTTTCCAATTTTCCAAGTTTTTTCAAGTCTTTTCCAAGTTTTTTCATTCCATTCCATTCCCATTTCGAAGAACCGGAGAGCGGAATTTTTCTGATACCTGAAAGCGCATGTGAATGATTTTTATGTGTTTAAATCGCAGATCAATGATAAGCACTGGTGTCAGCCTCACCAAGGTCACAGCGAGAACGTCTGTAGGATGCCATGTTATCGTGAGTAAACTGTCATTCCACCTCTTCAGTTTAATCATTCCATGGCAGTTGGCTGTTTGTTTGTTTTTTGCGAAAGTTTTCCTAACAGTATTCCAGACTTACTATAGCCAACCAAATAATTTTCAAATTGATACTCGACTAATACGAAGCATGAAGGCAGATAATACCGTAAATACCGGCAGCATAAAGTTCTATATAGAGCAAAAGTGTCGTTTTTTACGCTATCAAGTACGAATACACGGAAATAGGGAAATGTCTCATACGATTATCAGATAAATTTACGCTCCCTTTTCAACATTATAACAACCCTGAATACAAAAGAGTTGAAACCTGGAGTCGCGGCATCACATTAGTGTGCTTGCAATGTGGTGCGTTTCAACAACATGGCTGTCTGCGAGCCTATGCTAATCGCTGCAGCGCTTTCTTTTCTGCGTGCCTTACGAATCAAACATTATCCAGTGGGTGCCTCATCTTTTCTCTGAGCTTTGGAGTCATTCAGCGGCTAGAGGAGTAGATAATAGTGGCGTAGGCCATACCTATTAAGGAACTTGTGTCAATAGCAGGCTCACTTCACACGTCTGCACGCAATAAAAAAAAACTTACTGGACCAACTAAAAAGAAAAGGAGCTGAGTGAATTTCTATCGCCGATATCAGCCATTCAATTTTCTAAAGTTCTACCGAAGTTGCAAGAGTGCGCTATCGCGTAAAAAGCATTTCTTTTTCAACTCCAGTGCCCAAAATGTTACGTTTTTGGCACATAAAATGGAAAGAAATATATGTGAATACGGAAACGCTGCTCGCCAAAATCTTGAAAAACTTCTCTTATAATCCTGTACCAAGATTTATTATTTAATCTTAACGTTCCAAAGCAAAACAATGGCTACGGGACAGTACAAAATAATACGGGTGCTTTAATCAATGAAAGTGACAGCCAGTGCTACCACACACAGCTATGACAAAGGGTGTGGATGCACGTTAGCTCATATATGCGTCTCGAAGAGCGCGAACCTTTTGGCTGAAGGCCACTCCACAATAAGTTCGCATGCCACCAGTAGCTTCAATATTTATAGACAGCACATGTGTTCATGGTCAGTTCTCTTCATCTGAAATGCTCCTGACCCATACTTCGTGACGGTTGCGCTAGACAGAAAGATACGTATACACCGCCGCGACCATGAGAGGGGGCGCTAGCTAATGCCAGCTGGACTAGTTCTATGGCACACATAAGCACCCAAGAAACTGGGCTGCAAAAGTATTAGGTGCATGGTAGCCACCGCATGTGCAGTGCGAAGACTATGGTTCAGATACAAGCTGCGGAAAGTTGTATTTGCGTCCGCGTTATTTGTTTCGCTTCCTATTTTGATTATTTGAAATAAGTAAATTGAGTAATTTTACCTGTTCTTTTTCTTGTTTTTTTTAATTGAGATTACAAATAAAAGTGGCTAACGCCTTTGTGGTGGTATCACAATCTTGTGAATATATGTCCGTAGCCTTTTAAAAAGCACTCCAAGTTCTCGCCAATAATAAAAATATTAAAATAAAAAATATGGATGCGTTTGGGCCTTTGAAGGTTGAAAAACAAAACAGTAGCCAACAGTCTATAAATCCCATGCTTCATTCACTCAATTGAATAGCTGATGGTAAAAAAATACTGATAACCAAGTCATCTTCGGGTGGCGGGCTCGTAAAGCTGTTGGAAGATAGCTTTTATTTGCTGCTTCTATGTCTGTTTGTGAAATGGACACAAAGAAAGTTGATTGATTGATTGACTGATTGATCTTCAATAATTGGTTTTGTATGCGTGTGCGCGTGCTTGCAGTATTACGGGATGACAACTTATATGACGACATTGAATGCGTGAACAAGATATTCCGGAGGCACGGTTTCCATGCCTGGTGAGTGTCCACACGTTTATTTCAATATTTTATCACACGTGGATTACAAAAACCATGCAATTTCTCCTGACTCTGCTAACGCACCCGGTTGCCTGCGGCCGCTTCATTTGTCGTCTTTTACTTAGCATTCTCGCAAGTCGTCATGGTGCTTTTACATATATTTATGCACCATCACTTCCGTGTTCACCTAATCAAGAATTTCCACTGAAACAGCAACCGACAGAGTCCTCTTTTTAGCAGCGTTGCTTACATAAACTGCGAAGCATTTCTTGGCGAACTGCAGGCACCTTGAGCGTTTCCGTCTACGTATCTAGCTAGGCACCTACGTCTGAGTGCTGTCGTCATCGCGTACTTAACTAGGTCAGACCAAAATTGATATGGTAGGGTAAGGGGGACTCTACGATTATGACTGCCTGATTACAACATGAATAATGCGAACATGTGGTCGTCTACGTCCTCAAACCCTTAATTCCCTTCAGATCCGTGTGGGCATGCATGCGCGTATACCTCGGGCTGCCGTTATGCGGGTGCGCGCCACAGGTAATTGACAGATCACATCTCCCCCGGAATGGCAGGAACAGGCATTGACTGATTGATTGATTGATTGATTGATTGATATGTAGGATTTAACGTCCCAAAACCACCATATGATTATGAGAGACGCCGTAGTGGAGGGCTCCGGAAATTTTGACCGCCTGAAGTTCTTTAACGTGCACCCAAATCTGAGCACACGAGCCTACAACATTTCCGCCTCCATCGGAAATGCAGCCGCCGCAGCCGGGATTCGAACCCGCGACCTGCGGGTCAGCCGCCGAGTACCTTAGCCCCTAGACCACCCCGGCCGGGTAGACGAACAGGCATCGGTAATTTAAATGCGAGAGCATGAAGAAAAAACAAACATATGGCAGCTCCACTGTATGGAACATGAGGAATTGCGGCGCACGGACACCCAGCAATTCCCGTTCGTAGAGCTACCACTGCACTGTTTACTGCTCTGTTTACTGTTTACCAAAACGTAAATAACACCAACATTTGAGGTGAACATGTAGGATTTCGCCGGCGCAAGTGCAATCTTGTATTGCAGACTGACAAACTCAGTGTGTGACATGTGCGCTAGTTTTGTTCCGCCTTATAGACTTCCTCTTCCTTACGGTCGGACACGGTTTTAAAATTTCAAGTTAATTAATGTGATTAGTTGTGGACAACATCTCTTAACTATGTTAATTTAGACTTTGTTCATTCATTATAACACTGGCTTGAGCTTTGTTCTGACCTGTATTGAGCGCTTTACTACGAGCGCGATTACGCCACCTAAGATTGATGCATGGACAACTAACCGGGCCCCTGAAGTGTTTCGCGCTAAAAGCCGACGGAGGCTGCGTTGACTTTACGAACGGAGCAAATAAAAATAAGGATCCCAGCAGGACTCGAACCTAAGCATTCTGTGCGGTAGTCAGGTGTTCTACCACAGAGCAACGCCAGGTGTCGGAACTGCTTAGAAAGGAGGACCACTCAAGCATAATGGCAGTGTGATGAGAACTGAGGTTGTAGTGGTGGCTATCTGATTTTATAAGAAATAAATAAGCATTACGTATGTACTCTGATGATACAGGCGTAATGTCGGGTTAACGTCATTGTGGTTCCAGAGTTGGCTTCACTTTTATAGCAGTATAATTAATATTACAACTTTTGCAGTCCGTAAGCTATATTTAAGCGTTGCTCGACACCGGAAGAATGCGCTAACAAAAGTTACATATCATATTGACGTCATCGCGCTGTCAAATGCCTTTAATTTCGATAATACTGACGTATGTGCTCTAACTTGATTGCTGACGTTATGTCACACCATATACTACTGTTTAACCACCAGTCTAGTCGACGTTCCTGGTAATCCCACCATGAACAGAGTTATTCAATTACACGAGTTGTGAAACTGTTCCAAAACTCGGACACGCAGTTCGCCCAAATTTTTGAATGTTCAATAGTGTTTGCGCCTCTTGGGAGCAATAACACAAAACACCACTAATCTTTCTATTAGTGAGCGTGCAGATCAACAGATGGCGCGACAATCTGCTCACTAGGGACAAAAGGGGGTAATGATGTGTCTGTATTTTGATACATGGAGCCTATGGGGAATTTCGCAGCTCATGTGATCGAATAACTATGACTATGCGCACACAACTAGACACTTGCAAAAACACATCAATCCACCTCGTAACGCTCGGTTTAAAGCCAAAAGTGCAGCATAATTGCAGACTGTTTCGTATACGGCACTTATTCCCACAATTAGTGGTATCTGCCTAATTTCCTTAGTCATAAATTTTGCAAGTTCCCTGTCATTTGCATAATCAAAATACAAGACACAGAGAACTTTACATGGCGGGCTCGAAGTAGATATAGCTGCGTAGGTTAAGACAGGGTGAATACACTAGCATCTCGCAGCTAAGGGCTCTGCTAAGTAAGCAGTTCTAAATGATTGCCGCAAACAAGCATGCAGGATGTGGGGTCATACGCCCAGTTCTATACATCAAGCATCGGTTAAAGCAAAACAATATTCACACACACACACACACACACACACACGCACACGCACACGCACACGCGCACACACACACAAACACACACACACACACGCACGCACACTGAACGAGAATGCTTTGTTGTTCTGTGCCATAAAGGCTCTTTATAGGCAACAGTGTTCCGAGCGGACTATTTGCGCGCAGTTAGGTCCGTGTCGACTGCGTGATTTTTGACCCTGTTATGTGTTTTCCGCAGGATGATGTTCAGCCACAAGTGCTCGGGCAACACGCTCGAGTTTTTCAATGGGTGCGATTTTCGGATACGACGCGGTGACATGACTGGTTCACCGACCGGTCTGCAGATCACCATAGAGCCACCACCCATTCTGGAGAAGCTGAGTCAACTGAGTAAAGGCATATATCAAGCGGGCAGCCACCCCGTGCCCACGCGCCGCGCGCCAGATCCATCCACAGGACCAAGCGCGGGTCCAACACCTCCTCGCTGGACACCCAAGACCCAGGTGCCGCAGAAGCCGCGCGCCGTCGCCGTTCGACCGCCGAGGCCTCAGCCACCACCAAAAAAGGAAGCTAATGCTGTTTTACCCCATAGGTAGGCCTGTGTGACTTGTCTTGCTGCCGTGAAAATGTAAATAATGTAAATTCCATTCTACTGTGCTGTCCTTGGCAAGTGACGTAACGTGAGTTCAAACGCGCAGGCCACCACCACTGAAGCGCTTGCCAGCGCCACCTCAACAAAAGCCACCGCGTATTGTTCCTGCTGCTGTTGCCAGACCACCTCCCCAACAGCAAGGGCCACATTTTCCTGCGCTGGCGAGGCCTTCACTGACGCGGGCTCCACAGCGACCTAAAACACCAGGCGGCCTTCTTGTACCGCAGGAGTCGGTGGGCCAAGTTGTATTCGGGGTACCTCCGCCATTCGCTCCAACGTTACCAGGCACGCACCAGCGCCGTCCGCCACTGCCACCACCCCCACATATCGTGGCCGTGCCGCCACAGGGCCTGGGCATGTTTGGTCTGCGTCGTGGTCCACCTCCACTGCCGATACCTATACACGTGCCTCCACCGCAGGACCAACAAGGACCAGTTGTCTACAAGCGCACGAAGACGCGCAGGTTACCCGGGGGTCTCCGGCTACGGCCTTTTTTTGGCTTCGCCAGGTCGTCTAGGGTACGTTCAAGTGTTCGTTTTTTGCGCAGGTGCACGAGCTCATCGCCTACTCATTTGGTTACGCCACACGTAGAAGATTTCGCTGTAGAAAAGCTTGACTGATTGAATTTAAAACAAGCTAGAGGTGTGCGGAGGTGTTCTCGCTTACATGCACATAAGGGCAAGAAAAAGAAGTGGCGGTAATGTTACTATCGATGCGTACTGTATAAATGCATACAGAAAGAGCAGTTGCGCTTGTTGTTACTTTGTTACCTTTATGTATCGTTAGCTTGTAGGATGGCACCATTGCAGAGTTGCGGTATGTATTTCGTAGACTAGGTTCAAGTATCCTTGTTACTTCAAGTAAAGCAGAGTACTCGGTATGGTAGTGGCTTTCTACTCGTTGTATCGAAAGGTTACTCTTCTTTATTATGTTATAAAATCAACGCCTCACTGCGAGTGGGTTTCACTTCCTTATTTCTTCATTTTTATACAAAGCTTCCTTTGTTTCCTCAGGCATTAAATGCTGCACTGGCTGCAGCGTTTTCATACAGATGGAACAGAGTTTGTTACACAAACTGTCACATATTAAAAAAGTAATACTTATATAGGCTTGCCATGGAGCTAGAATACTCAAAAATCTCGAGCACCAATGCCATGTGTTTACTAACCCAGTCATAGCATTGAACAACCTCGCCATTCCTCTTTCTTGCATAAGCTGCACGTTGATATGGTTGGATTTGATTTCCTTCAGGTACACATTATAAGGTCTGTATATTAGTAAGAACGAGCAGATACTAAAGCCATGGTGTGTATAGACAATCTTATTTGTTGTAATCATGATATGTATTTGAAGAAAATAAAGTCGATGAGAAGATAACTCACCGCTGGTAGAGGCCGTAGCTGCAAAATTCGAATAACGTGTCTGACGCTCTACCAACTGAGCTATACGGATGCGGTCGTCATCCCGCCTACATTATCGGGTATATCTGTGCATTTAAACCTGGCTATGTTAATAAGTGCAGCTTGTAGCCATGACGGTGAGTGCAGAACACTCTTTCTTTCTGCGTGCTGGCGTCACGTATCATGTGATCACATTACGATCTGGCACGTCGCACATACATACCCAACGAAGTGAACGGGATTTTTACCGCCACCGTATGGCTTCATTGGTGGAGCACTGAACGCGTTATTTTCGAGTGGCAGGTATGGCCTCTGCCGGCAGCAAGTTATCTTTTCATCGACTTTAGCTTGTTCGCGTTTACGTCATAATTACTATAAATAGTATACCCTACAGTTTTCGTATCTTTATTGTCAATTAGTTCGCATTAACTTTGTGTCTAGCAAAAAAAATCTAGCGCCTGAAATTCCCTCTCTGTCGTGCAAGATCCGTTAAAGCAGGTAGCACAAAATAACAACGACAGAAGCGAGGAACAAGCGACACAAAAGTAACCTAAACACAAAATAAATTCTCAATTCTGGCATTGTTTAAGGCAACCTGCAACTTGAAATTGACATTTTTAGTGATTAAAGCCGACATTATTCAACAATAGACATTGCTAAAGAGCACTGGTAGCACAAAAATTGTATATGAACGACAACGTTCATAGAAGCTGTCGGTATATGGCCGCAAACAACGGCCGTGTTAGGCGTAATCCAAGTCACACATAAGGTCATTATGCGCATCGGCGATGTTCTCAATGATGCTGAGTACTATTTCCAAACAAGAATACGAGACAGAGAAAGAAGCGCGCCTCTGTTATGCAGCTAGCTCTTGAAGTGAGAAGTGCTACGACCTGTTATTTCTCAGCTGCCGACCCGAAGGTCACGAGATTGAATCTGCAGAAGCTTTCCGATGAAGGCAAAACGCCAGATGGTCGAAATTTCAGCAACCCTCTATTACGGCGTCCAACAATATCATGTCGTGGTTCGGCCTAGATGGAAGTTAGTCACTGATACGTGTCAACGAGGTGACAAGCAAGCTTTTCGTTGAATAAATCTAAGAAAATGCGTTAAACACGAGCGAGGCTTATAGCGAAAGCAAATCTTGGAAAATTGTTCAGCTCAATAAAACCTAAAATCGCATAAAACGTATTTTGTATGCACCATATGGTTCCCCCTAGCTCACAAGAACCTTCCATATATAGATCTGCTAAAAGCGCTACCTGTAATCTTTTAGGTCTGATCCACTAACGCACATTCCCCTTACTTCATGGCAGCCTGATATTTTATGTAACGCATGCACTATGCGTGGCTGGAGCTTCGGCAGAACGGGCTATGATCGGTGGCTATTGTTCAAAGCTTGTACACCGTCATTATTGTATAGGGCACGTTAAAAATAGATATTTAATTACTTAACCTTCCGAATATCTGACTTCTTATCGCTGAACAATTCAAGCTCTTGCACTAAACACGCCGAGAATTAAACATCCAATACCGCTACTGATTTCACTAAAAGTTGTTTATTTTCTTTGTGTGAAAGTCTCCATGCTAGCGGAAACCGCCTCTGCTCCTGTACCAAGGTGAAAGCTAAAATAATTGCACAGGGTTGGTGAAAAGTAAATGGTTCTATCACCGTTTGTTCTGAAATTAATCTTAAACATGGAAACATGGAGCCGTATGAAAACTCAATAACAGCGTGAAAAGCTGTGCTAGTTGGATTAACTTCATTGTAAGGCAGCTAAAAAAGCAGAAGACACGAGATGGACTACACAGCACCCAGCGTCTGTCCTCCGTAGTATCTCACTTCCTGCCTTCGTCTTCTTGCGCTACTTAACCGTGACGAAAGTGCGGCACTTCATTAGGTATATAATTGTACAAGTCTGAGATGTGTCTGATTTTCAGAACTAGTTTCAATTTCAGATGGAATGTAAGTTGACAGAGGTATACACAGATTTCTTGTAGGTGGACCGAACGTGCCTCACGAAGCTTTTGTTTCTCTAGGAAAAGTCTACAGAGGATACACATACTGTAATGTCAGAAATGTCTTTCCCATAGCGCACTCAAGAGCCGGCTTCCTTTTTTGAAAACATGAGATTTTACCACTGAGTTTCGACCGAGCAGTGGCCGCCCAAAAAACTCGAGGGTTCTGGTAACAACCTGTGCTGTCTACAAGCAGATTCGTGACGATAGACGAATACCAGCCAAAAATATACCCCAGTTACAGGGAATCTTCCGGGGACATGTCGGTTCCATTGACCCCAACATTCTACACATGCGCAAGCTTTCATGAAAGTGGCTGCAGAAACGTTTGAATAGCCAACAGTAAACATTCGCACTCATTTAAAGTTGTGACTACCAAATTAATGATCCTGGGGTCCATATTGGCCCTCCATCGCTCATATTCACGTGACCTGGTCTCTCCCATGTACTTCATATTTTCTAACTCGAAGGAAAACTTGAGGACACATCATTCTGACGACATTTCTGACGTCAAACATGCTACAGAGGGCTGTTTTGATGTCCTAAAGCATGCTATTGGTTTAATGAACTAAAACTATGAAACAAATATATAGAGCAGGCATTTGTTTAAAACAACATTACTTTTATTAAATGTGTGCTTACAACACAGTGGCTGTATACGCTTTCTGTGCAATGCCAAGAACGTTTCAGCAGCCCTGTATATTAATAACTATAGAGAAGAGGAAGCAAGAAAGTTTAGGTGTAGCAGCTGCCCATTGGTTATAACAGTTAAAGCATTTCATCATCATGGAAAACTACTATGCACGTTCTCTTACCTGGCAAAAAAGGAGCCACCTGGCTGGAAATGCCACTAGCACGGAACCCTCCGTTGTCAACTTGGAAATCCCTATTTTCGAGGCCTACATAGTTACCTGCTGTTCATTTTGCTGGCGCTTAGAAAACGATGCAATGACAGCTCACGACTGAATGCGCTGGACGGCACGCGAGAGTGCTGCCGGAATTTCTTTTCGTATATCTTTCTTCGGACGATTACACCGAAAGAAACGCGAAGCGCACGATCTACGCAGCTGATGGACCTCAGATCCCTGACATGGAATAGGTCCTTGCACAGTCTCTATGCGGTGCTCGTACAATGAAAATCGGGAATAGTCCCAAACACGGTCATTGCAGGTGGATCGCGAGTCGATAATGCTGCTGTCGAGTTAATGTTTAAACATATTTACTGCGAAATAACGTTTGCTGTCGGGCTAGTTGGTGCATAGCTGAACTTGAATTGATGGCGCAAATGTTGGACAGGAGAAAGGAAGACAGAAGTCACCTAAGACGTGGAAAAGCGCACACTCGCGACCTAATTTCATTCTTCCGAATGCTTAGCTTAAGAACTCTCAAGCATGCCCACTACGCCACAAAAAGCAAAATAACAATCGCTGAAAACGCCGCTTGATCAAAACATATCATCCAAAATGCTGTAGCCATTTTGGTAACGCAAGGTCGAAAGCTTTCTGTATATACTACATAGCCATAGGAAGAGCAAAGATAATGTGGCACGGGAATCAGCTGAGGCTATGTACATCATATTTAATAATATCACGCGAGCGTCGACCACAAGCAATATCAGCGCCTTACAGCGGCGATTATCTGCGATACCGGCAACATTACGCGCAGGCGCACAAAGCAGCGCTAGCGCAAGCGTCGTCTGCCACGCTGTTCCTAGGACGATCTACGCCCTACCACAATGACTGTATTAGTCTCCTTAGATAAAAAAAAGGAAAACAAAAGGGGTGTGAACAAAACCACGCGCACAACTTAACAGTGATCCACCAATTTGTGTTCTCTTGATATTTCCTGTGATTACTGTCAAAGAAACTGCTCAAAGTTGATGCGCAGGGAAATTTCAATAAAAAATAATGAAAAATAGTGACCATCAAAAAAAAAACACACACACACACATTATTTTACCGCATGGTCTTCGTCAGTTTATTCCACCTAAAGAAGGCGCTAGTATTGGCAGCAGCGCATGCTGTTGAACGCAAACGTGAAAATAAAGAATTAAGCGAAATGTTTCTGACGTTTCTATCTGCGATCGAGCGTACTCCGGGCGCTCAATCGGAGTGTTTTATCTTGAAAGGAACAGCCTGGCAGACGACGCTTGCGCTAGCGCTGCTTCGTACACCTGCACATACTGCTGCCCATATCGCAGATTATCACCATTGTAAGGCGCTGATACTGGTTGTGGTCGACGCTCGCGCGATATTATTAAAAATACTGGAGGTTGTACATACAGAAAGCTTGCGACCTTTGTGTCAGCGTTCCCTATGTTAATCTTTACCAGAATGAGTATAGTATTTTGGATGATAGGTTTCGATCAAGCGGTGTCTTCAGTGATTGTTATTTTACTTCTTGTGGTGTAGTGTGCATGCTTAAGGGTTTTCGGAAGAATTGCTTTCGGAAGAATAAAATTTTGTTGCGAGTGTGTGCTTTCCGACATCTTGCGTGTCTTCTTCGCTCCAGTCTAACTTTTCTGCCATCAATTGAACTTCAATTTCAGTGCCAGCCGTCCGTGCATAAAGCACCAGGGGCCAGCACAGAGCGCATTCTAAATCGCGAGGACGAAAGTAACAGCGGCCGTCAGCTGCTGAATTTTCCTTAAATTGGCAGAAAATCGCAATGCGCAATCTACTTTAACTGTGGAATATCAGAAGAAAAATTCTTCTGACACAAACGGCGTCAGACTTGGTGGTGTGGAACAAGATGTTGCCAGATTCATCCGCTTCAACTGCAGAAATCACAGTGCTTATGAACATTCGTCATGTACACCATTCCGCAATGCAAGTACAGGAGGCTCATTCGCCAATAGCGGGTAGTCAATTAGCCACAGTAACAGGTAAATGACAGTTAGTAGTAATAACTATACCACGAAAACGTCATTTTTCACAGCAACTAACATTAGTGCAGCCGCTGGCATGACATATCATGAAATTGCCTATACTCGGACACCATTCCAAGTCAGCGATTCCTGCTTCCCATGCATATCAGTTAGACTAGCTCGCGCAACCCCACTTCCGCTAAAAGCGAAATCGTAGAATAATAAATAGACGCACTCACGTAGCCGTGAATATTTACGACTAGGCGAGTGCGCTATTTTGTATATGTGCGTGCATTTGTATGTGTTTGCGTATATACACACGTGCATTAGCGAAAAATGTCGAAAACTTCAACCTCGCCCTCCATCCAATCTTTTTGTCAACTGAACACGTGCCTCCCACAGGCGTTGTTCGTGGGCGTTTGTTCTCTTTCGGACATGTTCTTTCGTTCCCCCTGCAGCATGTACATTGTCACTTCGAAGGCAGCAAGGGTGCACACGAAGCACTCTCGTGCTGCTTGTTTCGCTTATATATAAAAATATTGCAGATAAATGTAAGCACAGGTCTCACCAAGGACTCCCGCACCATGGCGGCAACGTTACTGCGAGTGTATACGTCGTGAGCGCTGTAAAATTGAATGCGAGGCATCGTAGTCGCGTGATGAAATCACTTTTACTTTTCCGCGCTTGTGTAAATAGTCTGCGCGATAAAGTTCATACATTAATCTTGCCGCTTGGTGGGAGCAGTGCTCTTCGGCAAGAGCAAACGTGGTGGGCCTACCCGATCTCCGCCGCTAGCGTCTATCAATCAAACTGATTGGCGTGTGAACTCGGGTACAAACTCGTTGATTCTAAGAAGGCTCCAGTTCAACTCGTGACAGTCAAGGTACCGGTGTAACTGTCAAGCATTTGATGCGGTGAACGCTAAGTGGCAGCTTCTTTGCATATAAAATAATTTAGTCATCTTGCACTATACTTGCGCAAGGCTGGAGCCATAGAAGAGCTTGTGATAACCTACCTTCTTCCAGCTTTTAAGTCGATCGTCTATTAATCTGCTTCGTCTGCTTCGAAGTGAAGACCGCATTAGCACTGTCTTAATTTCGATTATAATAATTGACTAAGGCTTAATCACCTCTACATTTAACTGTTTTTTTAGTGATAAGGTTTCAATTAAAATACCATTATCTCCGGCGTAATTAGCAAGGTCGTGATCAGTTCAGAGCTATTAAACGCAATCCTCGTTAGCAGAATCGTAATCATCACGAATTTAGTCACAGTTTATCACTATCGTTTTACTTAGCGTGCTCGTGATTAACGTCTCATTAACTAGCATGGTTTACTCAGCTCATCAACTAGCATGCTTTAGTTAGCGTGGTCCTAGTTTACATGACTTCCTTAACATGGTCTTTTTAAGATGTGATATAATTACGTCGGCCTTACCATGACCTCGCATAATTAGCTTGGTCATAGCATGTCCTGGCCTAACTAGCCAAGTATACTGCCCAGCCAAAAAGCTAAACAGTGTGGCGCATGCGCTCGGGTGCACCCAGACAATGAAGACTACGAAGAGGGCATGCACCGGCGGAGCAGCGTGCTAAAATGTGCAGGCTGACCATGATGATTAACACGTAGCCTTGTGTTTAGCTTCGGTTGCGATGTTGTAAGACTCTCGGCCAGAACTTATCTCAGAGGCCACCATGCTGATTATTCTAAAACACAGACCTAATGCTGGCATTAGAAGCTTCAAATAAATTTAAATACCCCGTGCCTCTATAAAATATCACAAAACGTTTCTGACACTTTTATTGCACGGGTGCACTTCTGCCCTCAGTGGAACGACAAACAAATAAAAAAAAAAGATGCGTGTTGTTTGAAAACACCGCCAAATTTTGTTGACCGTCTTTGACGCGATGCCGGGTTGCATCGTAAGCGTTGAAAGGCAGTGCGCTAAAGGGTGGATTTGACTTTTTCGTACTGTTTGCTCATTCAAAAGGGGATGTCGCCATAGCTCAGAAGGATCCTGAGCTGATCCCGAGTATTGCCAAGCTCAGGCAATCCTGCATTGCACCCATATTCTCAAAATCCACTTTGCATCTCATCTAAGCTCATGACCAATTGTGAACGTCATTTGATTCAGTCACAGGACCAAGTGAGAATTTTAAGGTTAAGCTGAAATGACCAAGCGGTGACAACAACGCCACGTGACACAAGCATCGATATGGCACAAACATCGGTACAGTCGACAGGCTTAAGCATGCCATTCATTAGAATTGAATGCACGTAAAGAGTTCCAAGTGCCGATAACATTTATGTCATGAACTTGGAATCAAACAGCAGTCGAGCTTTTACTCAACCGATTGTAATATTTTAGCTTGCACGTACGCGAATACATTTTAATGCACCATCGAAGTAATCAATAACCATGCACTCCCAAGTTGTATGATCAGCACGGTGACAAAAAGAATGTGTGGCATCAACCACCGTGGTTGTGGCAGATCCTTAAAATGCCTTGTATACGTTGCCTAGAAGCAGCTTTTCCTTACTTATTGTAGAATTACTGTCTTACTGACTGTATACTATCCTTCCTTTTCCTACTTTCCAATGAAGATATTACGCACCTACTTAACAAAAGTGGCATAGCCATGCCAGTGAAGTAAATAATATATCGCTGTAAGTAACAGAGACCGAATTCATAAAGATATTCGTTGATAAGCGTTTTTTTTTGCTTCAGTCCACCAGTTGAGCGCATATGTATAGCACGGTGATTGGCTAGATTTGTATCTTGCGAAGAATTAGAACGTGAAAGGTTTTTGTGAATGAGGGCGTAGAATATTAGTAGGAGTAAAAGCAATATTAGGTTTGCGCATTCGGGCCGTTCAGCAAGTAAGTGTGCCCGCTATTATATAATCTCGAATCGTAGACGACCCGCAGTGGTGGCTTTGTTGCTAATGCGTTGCGCGGCTAAATATGAGACGTATATTCAATACACCGACACCTTTCTAAGAGGGCCAAATACGAAGATTCCCGTGAACATAGGTTGAGATGTGCATGAGAAGACCCAAGGTAGTAAAAATTGACGCACAGTTTCCCACTAAATCGTGGCTCCTAATTACATCGTGGGTTTAGTACATCAAATTATAGAACTTAACAAAATTGAACGGTGGTGGCCTGTATAAAAGGAATTAATACTTGCAGTGCCAGCGTAGCTTTAACCAGCATTTTGTGTCGTCTAATACCCCATTTCCCACCGAGGTGGCCGAAATGGTTGCTGATTGTGTCTTGTCTGAAGCCGGTGGGTCCATAGCAAACACGCCACCAAAGGTCCATCAAGGAGGGGCCTAATAGTGGGCGTTGCTCCATGACAAAATGGTGGTGTTCAGGAGTGTGTGGCAGCAAAATGTACTTGCGTATACCCTTTCCCGGTGGCTTGATGTAGGCCAACCTCGAGTTCTTTGTCTTGGTCAAAAGTAGAACTCTTTAATGCTAGTTCCCATGATTGATAATATTTTACCGAGCAACAATTATTGTTGTGCACTCTGTTCCACAGTTTGTTGTGCGACAGTTGATTGACGGCTAAGTCAGATCCTGCATAAGTGCTGGCTACAAATGTATATGTCCAGTGCAGCATTTCTGACGATTCCTAGCCGTGCAAAGTGGCCATATATCCTAGGGTGCAAAACCAAATGAAAAACCTGGAGGCTTTTGTTATTCTGTTGAACATGGACAATGAATACTTAAAGTCCACTTAGAAACAGCCCTAGAACTTGGTATCTAGTTTGTGTTGCCACTCGGGTTTTGCATGCAAGTGTGAATAATATATTTCAACACATTTTACTTCCTAAATCTTCGTTGTCGTATTTCTATTGCGGTGTGCACACAGCTGTGGTACATTCTGAAATATTAAGATGCTTCTTTTTCTATGCAGACTTTCAAGAACAAAGGCAAGACATGACAACACGTTTGGCGCAGTCAACTCAAGTCAAGTACTGTTCGATGCATCCTTTGACTAATGCTACCCAGGGAATTACTGACCTGACCAGCCAAGTCAAGCCACAAGCCCAATGAACTATCTGTTGGACGCAGCACAAAGTGCGTGGGGCGGGAAGTGTCTCGGCAGTTCGCTCAACAAACACCTCATTACCAGTGACTGTCAAGTATTGAACGACAAGTCGAGTGAAGTTCTGCCGTATTGACTTTTCTACGACAGGGTGGCACCACGTATCAAGTGTACAGGAGGTAACCTGCTTCTGCAAGAAAGTGTTGGGACTGGAGAGGCATTCGTATGTATCATAACAAATGTGTGAAGGCTACTGACATATCAACCATTTTTCTCACCCAAGGAACCGAAGTTGTTCTATAATTGCTTGCTTCATGCCGAAATTTTCAAGCTGAGTGCGGCCTAATCGACAAACGTCTACTAACTGACAGCGATAAGCCGCTGTATTAGACTGTTATGTTGCAACTACTGCCAAACTTTGTCCCCTTGATGCCTGTCCTGTGTGGTTAATAGCACGTACCATTTATTGGTTGCATAGTGATTATATTATGGAGGATGTACATGTATATTAGCTGAAAATTTACATGCATACCAGTGACTGCTGTACAGGAAATACTGTGAGGTATCACCTGATTCTACAAAGAGACCATTTACAAATCTTGCATTCAGCTCCAATGTCTGTGTAACTGTTTTATTCATTTTGTAACCACTGTTCGCAAAGTCATGTGCGCGAGCGAACAATGTGTTGTGGCTCATTGTGGCATTCTTCAAAAAACGACCGGTGCAGTGCTCAAAAGAGTTTTCTTCAGGCTAACTAGTTAGTGGTGTAGTAGCAGCGCTGACCTGAGTACATGGGCAACCAAGCCGAGTGGAAGCTCTGATAATCAACAAACCGAAGCCATGTCGAATTTTCACACAATTCACTCGCACTACTACCTGATGGTTATGCCTTAAATTCAGCAGTAGTGTTACGAACAAAACTACGTTATGACAGGCAAAAAATGAGTTCCCCACATAAAACATAGGACATAAAAACTCGTAAACGTACCTTTCTGATACACGTTGGTTAACAACAACATCTATGGTGAACTTATATTACTGCGACTGGTGTTCACCCGAAATTGCTGTATAACAAAAAAAAAGTTCGCGGTTTATTGCGAACTTTAAAACCATATAGTCTGGCGGGTAACGTGTTGACAGTGTTTTAGCCATGGCTGTACATAAGCTATTACATGAATGTATAATTTATTTTTCATCTTTGCAACTCACTTCAATAATGTGCGCTTCAACTCTGATCCGTTTTACTTTTCTCTTTATGCGCATGGTTTCCTTTTACTACTCTTTGAGAGTGCCAACATGTCGACGCGTGAATCTTTTTTGTCTCATTGAAAATAAATTTCTTCCCATTGAGTTCACGGCGTGCTCCTTTTTATTAAGTGCTCCCTAAATAAGTGCCACCTATAGTGTTGCTCTTATCACGTTCGATGTTCGATAGAGTAAGCGTTGCTTCGCTAAGCCTGGGGATAAGGCGAGCACAGTTCTTTGATGACGCAGTGGTGATCGTCTTCAGAGTAATATTACGATATACATTCGCCGCGACAACAGCTGAAAATCGAATTGGAAAATAACTGTACAGAGAGTCCCTTTTGAACTGAGCGTATGCTCGTTTAAAGTTTTTTTTTTCATTTGAGCAACACGTATTTTTATGCCGCACTCTCCGTTCGCTACACTTAAATGGAACACTGCTGAGTAGTTGGGTTTGGTCTATTACTGCGGTGCATACCTACGGTTGGTACAACCTCGCTACGGACAATTACACTGTAAAAAAAAAATTCGCATTCTAATACATACGTTTTTTTCCGCACTCTTCTTTTATGCCAGACGTTTTACTTTTATTCTTCAAAATGCTCCAGCGTACACTGGTTTATTCACAGCTTCCTAGAAGGCGTTGAGTGCTTAAGCGTGTAGACTACGGATAAGTGTCTACGGTGTCTACGAATATATCTTAGCTTACAGAGCTTTGATTTAAAAAAAAAACATTGATTTGCTTGTGAAGTTTTGTACTCATCTGGCACATTGAATCCCATGGATATAAAGCTGGTGCGCCTTAAAGAGTGTGTATACGATGTAGGTGTGCTTAGCGAGGCGTCCTACAATTATCTTTCAGTTACAAATAATGATGCATTGTCTGGAGATGCATCAAATTTCTATGACATGAATCCAAAGCGTTTAGAAAAAACAAAAAAAATGTCTTCAAGTTCAGGAAAGTGGTACGTTGAACAATCGTTGAACATGGTATCGTATTCAGCAAGCCGATCCTCTGCAGCAATACGCAGCATAATGACGTTAAATGATTGCTAGTTGTCCACTAAGAAATCCTGCACGAATCTCGTGAGAAGAAACACTCTCGAACGAGGACAATGCCTGTGGCATAACAACACCGACTATCAAACAATTTCAAGAAACTCGCGGTGCGTGACGTGCCATAGAAGTTGGCGCGTACAACCGTGCACACTGTGACTGAAAGGGTTATGAAATTTCTGTATATATACACTTGGTGATAGCTCTATTACATTTTGTGTTTGTAGATCCCACCTTACCAAAAAATAAGGTTGCAGGTAATATTATGTCTATGGAATTTTTCAAAACCAATTTCACGATGTCTGCTAAAGCCAATGCAAGTAACACGCCTGAAACGCACAGGACTGTACAGCAAAACGCCCATAACCGTTGACTTCGACATAACGAGCTCACGCAAGGCCCCGCCGCGGTGGTCTAGTGGCTAAGGTACTCGGCTGCTGACCCGCACGTCGCGGGTTCGAATCCCTGCTGCGGCGGCTGCATTTCCGATGGAGGCGGAAATGTTGTAGGCCCGTGTACTCAGATTTGGGTGCACGTTAAAGAACCCCAGGTGGTCGAAATTTCCGGAGCCCTCCACTACGGCGTCTCTCATAATCATATGGTGGTTTTGGGACGTTAAACCCCACATATCAATCAATCAGCTCACACAAGTTTTCAAACACCCCTATTGCCTAACACGCTTTGCCGTTTTCACGACAGTAGCCTTGCGCAAAGAAGCGCGATCTGCCTGCGTTGAAAGGACAACGGGCAACTATATATCACCTGAAGCGCGCGTCCATTCAAAAGCATTAACAGCTGGCTTGATAACAGAAGCAGACGCGAATACACGGCGCAGTTGTGAAATGATCGATAGAATATGAAATATGAAGAGGTTCATTTAATTCATAAAGGATACGGCAGGTACTTCCGTTTTAATCTGCCAAGGAAAAAAAAAGTTACGAGGAGTTCATGACAACTTTGCGTTTTCATCATTTTTTGTTACCCTAATCACCCAAACGAGTGGTTTCCAAGCTTCACATATACGCGAAGCAAAGAAGCTGATGCCGGCTCCTAAACTACTGGGACTAAGTGATATATCCCTCCAGGCACAGACAGGCGACCGAACAGGTGCGTTTACACAGGCTAGACATTTATTACCGCATAGCGACGTGCTTCCCAGTTTCAGCTACTGCCAGAGTATGGACGCTCAAACGTGACACTTCTGCTCAGTCTAAGAAACGATGGAGTACACCAAGACACAGGTGACAAACCACGAAACTTTCTTTATTTACATCGTTTTCGCAAGGAAGAAGAAAGTAGGTTTTATACACGACATGTTACATAAAATTTATTTTCAAAAAAAAAACACTGCGAAAATCACGCATTATATTGCATCATACTTCAGTAAAAACGCTACGGCCACACAGAAAAGATCAGCAAAGTAGCGACATAATGTTTATTATGAATTTTGCAAGGGAAACAAAGGCTAATTCTACCGAAAACAACATAAAGATAAAAATAATTTCTAAAAAAAGCCACTGCAAAAACACTGGGCGCACGACAGCCGTTGATTATCATGCACATTACGCCACACTGGTGCAAGCGAGATTTTCAAAAGACATTTCAAATATGATGCAGTCAAGCCGAGAATATAACATCCACGAACAAAGCTAATAATACGAAGTGGACGGCACAAACCTTTCTGGGGCTTCAGAAAAAAAGTACTGACACGAGCAATTCCCTAAAAAGTTCAAGAAAGATGTGTCTCTTCTTGGCATAGACCCATTTTATTTGTAAAGCTGTGCGCTGCGGCCTCATGAGATTTATTGCAGAGACAAAAAGAAAGAGAAAGGAGTTGGAACAAACACGCTCTAGAAGTTTAATTGCACATTGTTGATATTCAGCTTAAGTATAAAGCCATGTTAAAAACTCAATTTGACTCAATTTATTTGGCCTAATCAGATGAACCACTCTTTAGAAAACATCTAGTACGACGAAAAATGTTGCTCCAGCCCTTGCTTTTTGAAAAACAATAATTAAGTGAAAGTTCTAACCTCATTAAATGTCTGTGAACCCAAAACTTATTGTGCTTGTTTCAAATTTAACATATAGAAGCATGAATTACGTGGTACAATGATTTTAATGGTTAACGAGAAGATACAATACTGACAAAAACACTACTTTAGCTGTACTAGCTTATTATAGTCTTCCACAATGAAAAAAAAAATGCTCTGCGTGAGAAGGACCTTGGCAAGGGAGAAAAACAAAAGGAAAAAAACCAAGAAGCTCATAAGGTCATTTTAAAGTTCTCATACCAAGTCACCTTACTGTCATGGATTTTTACAACTTTTCGGCCCGAGTTCAAGTTTTGTCGGTGCGGACAGATTGCCGTGTTTTCTAAAGTATAGCCAGTGGTTTACGCCAACAATTGTCGACAAATTGCATAGCGCCACAGCGGCCTAAGTGAGAACAAAAACACAGTGAATTCATGTCTTTCCACGGACGAGCGCACCGGCCAGAAATTCGCAAAACTGAAATTTGACGTCCATTGTATCTTTTAATAATCGATCTTTTAATAATCGATTTTAAACATGGTATATTTCCGAGCTCACTGAAAAAAGCCAAGTTAACCCCAGTACACAAAAAAAGGTGATACGACAGATGTCCGTAACTACCACCCTATTTCTATTCCGTCTTCCATCAGCAAACTTATTGAAAAATTATTTCTGAAACGTATTAACAAGTACCTTAATAAATTTAAGCTGCTAAAGCCTTGTCAATTCGGTTTCAGGGCTAGTAGTTCTACGAATTTAGCATTGCTATCATTAATTGATTTCTTGAAAACGTCCATCGACAACGGTAATTTCACAGGGTCTGTATTTCTTGATTTCACGAAAGCCTTTGATACCATTAGTCATAATATTTTATTCAGCAAGTTGGAGTCCTTGGGTATCACTGGCCCATCCTTGACCTTCATAAAAAACTACCTTCTTGATCGTGAACAATCAGTCTGCATTGGGGGGGTTAATTCTAATGTTAAAATATATAATCAAGGGGTCCCACAGGGTTCTATTCTTGGACCCTTACCGTTTTGTATCTATATTAATGATTTGCCTGACTGCCTTCAAGATTCTAAAGTTATTCTTTACGCTGATGATACGACCATTTCCATCTCGCATAAATCATTACCTACTCTGATCAATATGTTGAATAAAGAACTGACTAATGTCGTTGAATGGTGTCGCTTAAACAACTTAATTTTAAACCCACTCAAAACTCAGTTCATGGTTTTTAAAACATCACAAAAAATGCTACCTTTCATTCCACAAGTGTTCATTGACAATCATTTCGTTCCTGCGTCTAACTGTGTGTGTTTTCTGGGCGTAATATTAGACCCTCATTTAAAGTTCACCAATCACATTCTTTACGTCAAACAAAAAACAGCATCTGGTATAAGATCACTCATCAAATCTCATCCTTTTTTTTCACTTGAAGCCTTATTGCCTTTATACTTTGCATTCATACATAGTCACATCACCTATGACATCACATCATGGGGAAATACATATAACACTCATATTTCGTCTGTACAGCACATTCAGAATCAGGCCATTCGCATTATTACCAACAGTTCATTTTATTCTAATGCTACCCCGCTCCTTCAGGCTAACTGTATTCTTACTGTGTCTGGCTTATTTAATTTTCACTTAATCATATTGTTATATAAACAACTTAACAAACAACTTGTGTTTGATTTATCGATGCTAGTTTACTCACTAACATCAATAGCACTACATTCGCCCACAGTCACAACTTCCTTTTACCTAAATGTAACACCGATTATGGCAAAATGACGTCCGCCTTCGCGGTCATTAAATTGTGGAATAACCTGTCCTATACACTAAAATCATCATCATCTTTTCATGCATTCAAACGTGAACTTAAAAACTTCATCTTGCATAACTAGGTTGACAACGATGATTACTTAACGATTGTTATGTATCCGGACATGAAATTGGTAAGCCTTTGCAAATTTAGATTATTGCTTTATGGAGTGATTATGTTTTACT